AGGTGTATAAATATTTGGGTTATGTGGTGATGGCAAATGGGGAACAGAGGAAACATCTAGAAGAGAGAATTAACAAGGGAGCGATAGTAATGAAAGAAGTATGGGGTATAGGTAAAAGGAAGTATGGCAAGGATTGGTCGAGAAGATTATGGTTATTTGATAGATTGGTGTGGTCAGTGGTTGTTTACGGGGTGGAGAGAATTCACGATAGGTTTTTGAAATGGGTTCTAGGGGGGGGGAGGTGTACTCCAGGGTATATGGTTAGGGAGGAAACGCAGAGGGAAAAGTTGAGAAAAAAGTTGAGAGGGAAAAGGGAGAGCAGGGATGAGGGCGTGGAGTTATGAGAAGAAACTGAGGAAGGAAGGAGGAGGGGATCTAGCGAGGTTATGTTGGGAGGAGTTGAGAGATAGAGCGCGGGAAGGGAAGGTGCAGGGGAGATGGGAGGAGGAAAGGAGAGATTTCTATGAGGAGAGGAAGTGGAGTATAAAGGAGATTGAGGAGATGAGAGAGAGGGGAATGTTGAGGAGGGAGGAGGTAGTGGCTAGAGAGAGGAGGGTGCAGGAAGAGGAAAGGTGGGATAAAATTAGAGGCACGAGGTATAATAGGTGGTACTGTGAAGTGAAGGGAAAGGGGGTGCCGGGGTATCTGAGGAGGGGGTGGAAGGAGAAGAAATGACAGAGGGTGGCGAAGTTTAGGCTGGGAGACGGCATGAGAGGGGGAAGGTATTGGGAAGGGGAGGAGGAAAGAAAATGTAGGATGTGTGGAGAGGGAGAGGGAACCTGGGAACATGTGTGGGAGGAATGTACAAACTGGGGGGTGGAAAAGGGGTGGCAGGAGATGTTAGGCGTGGTATTGGGAGAAGAGGGAGAGGGTGAGGTTTGGATGGGAAGATTAGAGGAGATAAGGGAGGGAGGTGGATGGTTGGGAACGGATGAGAGCTTGGATGAAAAAATGGAAAGTGCGGCGGAAGCGCAGGTCCGGGGGATGAGTGAGGAAGGATGCTTGGATGAATGAGTGATGCGCTTTCTCTCTTTCTCATGCGGTTTGCGTGGAATGGCGAGCCTCCTTTTTGTTTTTTTTTTTTTTTTTTTT